TACTTACTATCAATGTACTTGAAAGTATCACAAATGCTTCTGTGCACCTTGTATGTTACCTTTAATATTGACTACGTTTAAGTGTGGATAATGTTCTATAACAGCATGTAGTTCAACAGACTGATTGTGCTTTTGGTCTTTATCATTAAAATACACATTTGGCAGGGATGCTTTATAAAGTTAGACAAGTATTAATGACAAGTTGTTTGATGTTGTGCATTCACTGATGATTGCTTTCTGCAATATTGTAATGCTACTATCATCATTTTAATGGCCACTGCCAATGATGCTTTAGTTGTTCAAAGCAGTTTATTACAAAGAGTAATAAATATGTGGTGGTAAATATGTGACTTGTTCAATAATGTTATGGATTTTGTGTTTGCCATTATCTCCAAAATATGTATCTTTTTATCAAAATAAAAGCTACAAAGAAAAACTTAAGTTGCCCTTTTCTTATTAACCATATTGTCCTTTTTTGAATGTAGAGTGTTATCATATTTTTGTTTAAAGCTGCTGAAAGCAAGAAACATTTGATCTATACGTGTTAACCTTTCATGGTTCTTCCTATGGTTTAAAATCTCAGATACATCATGCAAAGTATGCATCAAAACTACAATGAATATTTGGGTCATAGAAATACTGTACTAGTTTAGACATTTTAGACATGCATACTGGAATTACATAAACAGAAAAAACAATAAATGAATGGCATGAAAAAATAAATATTATAAATATTCAATCTTTATTTTCAACCAAATAATTAGTCACAGCCAACATGTTATTTCTTTGTAACAGAATGCTATATGAACAAAAAGAAAAGAAAACAAAAGAAAACAAAAACAAACAAAACACCATACAACAAAAACAAATATGAAAAGGAAAAAGCAAACGAATACACACTGTGACCTTGAGTGTTTATTTCTCTCCTCTTTATAGTAAATGCAAATTCTGGTGGTTCAGTTTCAGAAAGCTTTAAGAAAAAAAAAAGTGGAAGCACAACATTTATCTTTCTATGGCAAACACATCCGCTCATGGACACCTGCCTTGGAAAAAAAAAAGCAGGACAAAACAAGTGCTTTTAAACTTTCCTGAACATTCTGGTATGAAGGTAAGGTTCAAACATTTGCCCAGCTGTCTATGATAGCATAAAAAAACACCAAATAAACAGTGATGTCTTTGCAAAATAAAATTACAGGTATTAATCAAAATAGTCCTGTGAATAAGCTTCACTAAGGTGAGCCTTTCAAAGGACCACATAAAAAATAAAAATAAAAAAAATTAAAATTAAAAGGGATGGACACTACTTTATTGGCCTACATATCTGTATCTGCTGAAGATATTTTATCATACAAAATGTGAAATAAAAGACATACAGGCCATGAATACTGAGGATTACTGAGTTTCAACTGCAATAGAGCACACATACCAGCTGAGCAGAGAAAATATTGCATGGTGAAAAAGACAGGAGAAATCCATAGGTCCAAGACCTGTTAACAATTTTGAAAAGGTGGATGTAAAAAAAAAAAAAAAAAGGGTTCTGGGTGGGTAAAATCTTGAGAGAAGACTCATCAAGAACAAGAATGGGTAAAAAGAACCGCGGGACATTCTAAACAGGCTTCATTATGGGTCAGTCAACACACTGCAGTAGGACCAGATGCCACAAAATTAATAAGGGTCATAAGGGTCAATTTTTCCAAAATTGAGATTTATACATCATCTGAAAGCTGAATAAATAAGCTTTCCATTGATGTATGGTTTGTTAGAATAGAACAATATTTGGAATCCGAGGGTACAAAAAAAATCAAAATATTGAGAAAATCGCCTTTAAAGTTGTCCAAATGAAGTTCTTAGCAATGCATATTACTAATCAAAAATTAAGTTGTAATATATTTACAGTAGGAAATTTACAAAATATCTTCATGGAACATGATCTTTACTTAATATCCTAATGATTTTTTGGCATAAAAGAAAAATCAATAATTTTGACCCATACAGTCATGGCCAAAAGTTTTGGCAGTGACATAAATTTTGTGTTTTGCAATGTTTGCTGCTTCAGTATTTGTAGATTATTTTTCCACGTTTCTATGGTATACTGAAAAACAATGGTAAACATATACGTTTTAAAGGCTTTTATTGGCAAAAATATATATAATGAGTCAATGTTTACAGTGTTAACCCATCTCCGAACAATCGATTTTCCAGATGTCCCAAAGAGTCGGAAGGAAGCTTCATCAGAGAAAATAACTTTGCACCAGTCTTCTGCTGTCCAATCCTTGTACTTACTGCAGAACTTCAGTCTGTCCTTGACGTTTTTCTTGGGAGAGAAGTGGCTTCTTTGCTGCCCTTCTTGACACCAGGCCGTTGAGGCCATTTTGATGCAAAGCAATGATGGCTGCACATGTTTTTTTGGAGGTAACCATTGCTAACAAGAACACAATGATTGGAAGCGCTTCTTCCCTCCTATTATAGCAATCAGTCTGCTCTTACAATCTAATTAGTATGATAGTGATTAACCTGACTAGTACATTCACAATTTCACATGTGCTGCCGATATGATTAGTAATTTAATGTTAGCTGGTCATTTTGTGTCAGGATAAAAAAACAGTGAAATTTGTTTTTTTGTGAAAAGTTCTTTTTTTTTTGTCCAATGAAGCTTTTAGCAATCATTTAAAATGCATCTGATTACTCTACACAATAATCTAGAAACAATGTGAATGAACACCACAACAGTTTAAGCAGCAAACTTTGCAAAACACAAAATTTATGTCACTGCCAAAACTTTTGGCCACAACTGTACAATGAATTTTTGGCTATTGCTACAAATATACCCCAGCGACTTAAGACTGGTTTTGTGGTCCAGGGTCACATTTGTCATAACTGTTTTCGTAACAGATGAATAAGAATAAAATACTGACAAGATAGCTTTGGTATCAAATTGCAGTTTTTCTTGAGGATGAATTAGCCACATATCTATCTTAGTGCTGCTAAATATAACAAAACTTCATACCACCCTGACCAGCCAAAGCATCATTGTAAGAGTAAATCTGCCTACAGTTAACTTCACAAAAGATGCTCAAAAACAACAAACACAAACAGCAATATTATGATTTAGGTGACACAAACACAAAAAGAAGAAAATGACAACATTTGCCTCTCTCTGCCGTACACCAAGTGTTTGACTAAACAGTCACCATGTTTGACAGTAATGAGGTAGCGATTCGTCCTGAGAACAGAACTGATGTTTGCATATGCTCCCCAGCCAGAAAGGCCATGGGTATTGCAAAAAACCACACGTGCATGCAGGCGTACGAATACATTCACACAAAAATGAAGGGGGAAAAAAAAACAGATAGAAAACAGAGAGACAAAGCGCACACATGCACACAACTTTCCATTTATTCAGCAAATTCAATTCCTTAAGCAGTTTCCCCATAATTAAATGGAACTTCCCAATTAAATCACAATCACAAGGTCACTAAAACAAGCAGTTTGTCTGTCTGTTCATCTGTCAGCCCTGGCCTTTGTGAGCCGGCAGACAGGGAAAACCATCGATATGGAGACTGGACAAGAAACACTGGGTGTTTGGGAGAATTCTACTGTCGAGATCAAATGACCCAACACAAGCACTCCATCACAGGGCTTCTATCACATTCTGTCAGCTCAGAGCTACATCTTTTGAACCTGAATTAAACATTGTCTTGCACTGAAGAAATAAAATGAGTAACAAAGGTCTTGTCCAGTCTAAATCCACAGTAATTATGGATATATGCACGGTTTGCACATGGCTAGCAAGAGTGATAGCCTCCCTTTGGTTATCCATAGTTTAGGTTACGGTTCACATTCATTCAAAAGACAGGTGCCTCTGTTCCTAAATTCTTTACTTGACTTTAGGGGCTCTGAATTTGATTTCATGACAGGGTTTTGGTGTGGAGAGGTGCTATTTGTGCTCTTCAGGGTATGTGGATGTGGCACTGTGATTCTTAAGTTGCACACAACTTTCACATGACCCTGAAAAGGACTTTCCTTCCAAACCTTGACTTGTTAACCTACTTAACCAAAATGGAGTAAACAAAATGGGTGAAAGAAGAAAAATGCTGTTTCACACATTTTGAGCACGCAGCTGCAGCCAAATAACAAAAAACAAACAAACAAACAAAAAAACAAATGGCCATTTAATAAAAAAAAGATTTTTGCTTAAACTCATTTCAGGCTCTTCTAAAATACATATTTCCAAGCATTTAAAGTAAATCAAAATCATCATTCAAGAGTTCGGTACAATGCACCACTTGCTCCTAACTGGGCGAATCTGGAGTAGGGCTATGAGGAGCTCAATACGTGGAAACAGCCGGATGGGCTGATCACAGGCGGAGAGAGCTTTGGCAGAGTTTGAGGGAGTGGCAGCCATGTCCCTCAAGCCTCTCTGTAGGGGTCAAAGGTCAAGGATCATTGGTCTATAGGAGAGGTATGGGCAGGCAAAAGCTGTGCTTGTAAGCCAGCCATCAAGGCATTAGGGCTACAGGGTGGAAAGTGGGGCGATCAAAGAGGATGTACAGCCATCACATGGACTCAAACTCATCGATACGCTGCTTGGTGTTGCCTTGGCGGATCTGGCGTAGGGTCTTGTATTTATCCCGGCCAGCCTTCACATTCTCTGCATGCAAAACATCATTTTGGGTGTTCTTGGAATCGTCACGGGCCTGGGCCAATTCTGAGCTCAAGGCCTGCAATGAAGATGATGTGTAAGCTATGCAGGTATTTAATATTATTTATTGGTATTTATTTTACATCACAACAGCATAAAGGCCCATTCATACCAAGAGCCAAACCGGTAACTATAAGTACAACGATAACTACTGTATATCTGCATCCAAACCAGCGAACGATAACTCATTCTTTATATAAAGTAACTAAATTGGGTGTCTGTTTAGAGAGTTATTGTCTTTTAAAGACAAATTGTATTCATTCTTCTGTATGTGTCAGTTTCAGTTTTTGCTGTTCTTGTTGCATTTACACGACTTTAACCAGTAGATGTCCTCAGCATGCTACGTTTCGAGCGCATCTATACAGTGAATCTAGCTAGTGTAATCTATCTGCGAATTTAGCTAACTCAGTCAATGTAGTGCAATAAAACTACATTCGTAGTCTTTTCTACTGCAACTTCAAAGGAGGCATAGACAATGTTGTCGAAACTAGCGCTGGATACCTGAGGTATTTTATGTTCCTCTGTTTGCAGTGTAGAGCTTCTCTGCAATGGCATCTTCTATTTTAAATGCACAAGCCTTTTAAATTTGAATGAAGTCTAATTAGCTGTCAGTGTTTTATCGTTCATCAGCTGTAAAAAAAATAATTCTGAAAGTGATCCCAACGATCTATTCAATTTAAAATTATTTTTTAGAAAGTTATCTTTATAGTTATAGCTATCGTTCTTGGTATGAACGGGCCTTAACTCTCCAAACACATGTATGCATGCAGATGGCCTAACCTGTAGCTGTTTTTTGACACGTTCATTCTTCTGGGTCTCTGTGAGCCTTTCTTCCTCACTTCGCTGGTGAGCAACTCCATCATTAGAGAGCTCAGCACTGGCTTCTGCACTGCTCTCGTCGTGCTCGTCATGTTCGTTCTCAGCTGCACCACCCGCTGTAGCCGACATCACCGACTTCAGCTCCTCTTTGGTTTTTTCCAAATCTTCCTGAGCAGACAATGCCTACAAGGATAAGTGAAAAATGCATCAATAAGCAAACATAAAGCTTCAACCGGAATACTGGCTCTTTACCCAAGAGGCAGACAGTTAATGACAGTCTAATTAATTTATCAGACAAAACACAATGTTAAAAGAATAGTTCAGCCAAAAATTAAAATGTGCTAAAAATGTACTCAACCCTCAGGCCATTCAAGTTCGAGGCCATTTGAGTTTTTTCTTCATTGGAATATATTTGGAGAAATTTAACATTACATCACTTACTCACCAATGGATCTTCTGCAGTGAATGGGTGCTGTCAGAATGAGGGTCCAAACAGCTGATAAAAACACACAATCCACATAACTTCAGTCCATCAATTAGAATTGTTTTGGCATGTAAATGGTGCTTGTGCTGTGCATATTTCTCTCCTGATTCAGACAAGACAACTTTTTCATTGGAGAAAGTGTTATTACGGATTATGGACTCGGAAACAGAAAGCCAGAAACAATGATTGAGCGTTAAAACGCTTTAATGATGGATTTCTTTCTTACAAATGCAGCTTTTCACTTCACAAGACATTAACTGATGGACTGGAGTCATGTGGATTACTTGTGGATTATTGTGATATTTTTAACAGCTGTTTGGACTCTCATTCTGATGGCATCCATTTACTGCAGAGGATCTATTGGTGAGAAAGTGATGTAAGGCTAAATTAAGTTATCAGGCTTACTTTTATCTGGTTGCAGGTATCACATAAAACCCCGTTTACAGGTTTTAGATAATGGACAAAGCTAGAATTGATTTTGGATACCAGACAAAACTGATATTTCTTCTGGCAAGAGACTGATCCAATATTCCTGATGTGTCGGAATGATCTAACATTTTTGGTGTTATCAATCTAACATGCACATAAATATTATTTTCTACATTCATTCTGACTCTGCCTGAAATGCTCCATTTTAGTTACTGCAGCTCATTTCCTGTTTGTAAATGGCTAAAGTCATTTCATAAGAACACTTACCAAAGCCCCCAGCTATAGCATTTGAGATTTTGAAAACCATAGAAAACCATAATTTACAGATATGTATTTACTTGCACTTTGTGGTGTAACAAACATATAATCAAACAAACATATTCCTCAGATGCAATCTAGGATGCTAAAAATAAACCATCAATTCTTTCCTAATACTGGGGGCCCTTCATAAGGCTATGTAGAGACACAGATGAGCTGTTGAATTCTGATGCATCAAAGCAAAAAGATCACCACCTTTCCTCATCCATATGTCTTATCAGGAGTAGCTCAAGCACACCGATCATGTCAGAGGTGTGTTTTACATGTGATGTAGAAGTAGACGTGTATCTTGGAAACATTACAGAAACAGTACCTAGAAGTAATCAGTGCTTGGTTAAGATACTTCTTGTAGCAGGGAGAAAGGCCATTACCAGGAATTGGCTTAAAGCTGACCCCCCTTGTTGTAGTCAATGGCTTGATATTATAGAGGAAAACAAAGAAAAAGAATTTAGAATAATAGACTAATTGACTATATATATGCTTTCCCCACAGGCTTGGTTACAATTGTATTGTTATTTTCTTACTGTTAGTGTTTATATATA